TGTCCCGGACCCACCCGAGTCCTTGGGTTTGAAAAAAAAAAAAAAAAAGCTCACAAATGTTTTCCAGTGACAGACGTTCATCTGCTTGCCACAAAACGCTCAGGTGTAAACAGGGGCCATAGAAATGAATGGGATTCCTTGTCTTGAGTGTTTTGTCGTGCTTACTTTTGGAGTGACCAAACTCCTAGGTGTGAATGGGGACTAAGACAAAATGCATATCCATGCGTGCAGCCCTAGCTTGCTCTTACAAAAGAAAATGAAGGCAACCAAAGCAGATGATGATGAGCACTCGGAGCTGTACCCAAGGGATGGTTCATGTATGAGCAAGTGGTAGAGCTGCAATAGTTCAATGTCTATTAGGAGTGTTTGATAATACTCACTCAACCTGTAGGCTCCTGCCAGACTCAGATGGGGCTCTGCAGTGGCTAAAGTATTGATGGCTGGCATTTTTCAGGATACAAAGAGGAAGCCATTGCCCGGTGTCTTCCATTGTTGTTGTAGTGGATGTTGTCTTCCTGTATGAGGCGGGGCAGTGGCCATGCTGGGCCTGCCTACTCACAGGCTGCAATAGAGGAGGGAGGGCTGTCTGCTCATGTGCTGATTAACTCTTCAGATGCCAGCAGAATAAAAAGACCTTTTTCCTGTGCTGTAATTTTGACGTATGGTGATCGCCCAATAACAGCACCTGGCAACTGCGAACCACATCCAGTTAGTACATTGAAGACTATATCAACTATGTACATTTATACTAAATATCAGTTGCATGAAGGTTCTATTCTTGCTCAATCTGGAAATCAAGACCACTTTAATGATTACAGATAACGCAGTCTCCGCATGATGGGTGCAACACATTTTCATATACGTTTATAGGTGCATTGTGGTGTGCCGACATTCATTTTGAGGACTGATTCACCTCTTGGCGGTGCCTTACCATAAATGCGTTAACACACGTTATGTTGCACATTAACATGCGATGCATTAGGCAGTTCTTTGAAATTAGTGGACTGTCAACATACCCTAAGGTGCTGGAAATCTGTCCTGACCCTTTATTTATTATGCAAAGCACAGCAACGGACTACCGTGTGTTACGGCATGCTGCAACGCAGGTGTCTTGCTTGTGTTGGTGTGTTATATAAGATAAATGGCACCACAACATAGTAATGCATGTTACGTGCATTACTGCACATTGTGATCATGTACACATCACCACGACATGAGGAGATGAAGACAGTGCAGAGAACCGAGGCTGAGAGGAGGACACAGTGCAGAGAACAGAGGCTGTGAGGAGATGAGGACACAGTGAAGAGAAGGGAGGCAGTGAGGAGATGAGAACATGGTGAAGAGAAGGGAGGCAGTGAGGAGATTAGGACATGATGAAGAGAAGGGAGGCAGTGAGGAAATTAGGACATGGTGAAGAGAAGGGAGGCAGTGAGGAGATTAGGACAAGGTGAAGAGAAGGGAGGCAGTGAGGAGATTAGGACATTGTGAAGAGAAGGGAGGCAGTGAGGAGATTAGGACATGGTGAAGAGAAGGGAGGCAGTTAGGAGATGAGAACATGGTGAAGAGAAGGGAGGCAGTGAGGAGATTAGGACATGATGAAGAGAAGGGAGGCAGTGAGGAAATTAGGACATGGTGAAGAGAAGGGAGGCAGTGAGGAGATTAGGACAAGGTGAAGAGAAGGGAGGCAGTGAGGAGATTAGGACATGGTGAAGAGAAGGGAGGCAGTGAGGAGATTAGGACATTGTGAAGAGAAGGGAGGCAGTGAGGAGATTAGGACATGGTGAAGAGAAGGGAGGCAGTTAGGAGATGAGAACATGGTGAAGAGAAGGGAGGCAGTGAGGAGATTAGGACATGATGAAGAGAAGGGAGGCAGTGAGGAAATTAGGACATGGTGAAGAGAAGGGAGGCAGTGAGGAGATTAGGACATGGTGAAGAGAAGGGAGGCAGTGAGGAGATTAGAACATGTTGAAGAGAAGGGAGGCAGTGAGAACATGAGGACACAGTGCAGAAAGGGGAGGCAGTGAAAAGATGAGGGCACAGTGCAGACAAAGGAGGCAGTGAGAAGATGAGGGCACCGTGCAGGCAAAGGAGGCAGTGAGAAGATGAGGACAGTAGGACACAGTGCAGGCAATGGAGACAGTGAGAAGATGACAATACAGTGCAAAGGGGGAGGCTGTGTCATTTTGTTGAATTTTTGGGATCTGACTCTACTGGGGGAGGTAGACACTAGTGTAGTGTCCAGTGTCCCCTTTCACAAACTGTCATCCAGGTTATACGATTAGAGGGATTCAAGAAGAAAGTTTATCTGAGCAAGGTAGAATTGCTTGCCTGGTGAACCTTTTAAATTGCAGGGAGCCCGGATTGACTTTCTTGTAAAAGTAGGAGGCTATCTGGATTAGTTAATTAATATAGAGATACAACAAGCTGCTGCCGAGGATAGCTAGGACCAACAAAGTATTGGGAAATAAATCTGACAGGTCCTCTTTTTTGTTACTACCTTTTCTAGAGAGTATAACAAAATTGTGACTGTATTTAAGAGGAAGTAGGAGGAACTTCCCATTTATGCTGATACCAGGGTTTAAGATATTATAAAAATGGCTGTAGGCTTTGAAGCAGGGGGGCTCTGTGCTGAATATTATTACCCTCTTTATTTGGGGACCCATCTAGAAACATCAAACTTGCCTGGCTGTCTATTGAAGGGTTTATTAAATGTGGAGTGACCATATGTCGGTATTGTGGTGTGTATATGATACTAAGGTTGTGTGTACACCAGTGTCTGGTGATATGTTTCCTCCGCAACAGTTTACTATTTGTGGAAAGAGAAATGTAGTTTATGTAATTTATGTACTAAGTGTCCAAAAGGTGGGGTGTACCACCAGACAGAACACCAAATGAGATTATTTGCTTTCTTACTAGATTGTAAACTCTCACAAGCATGGCCCTCCTACCTCCTGTACTGAAATTGTATTGTTAATTGTATTGTCTCCATCAGTTTTGTAAAGCGCTGCGCAAACTGTTGGCGCTATATAAATCCTGTATAATAATAATAATCACTGGAGTACTGAGCAGGATTTATACTGGGCGTGATTTACTGCCACAAAATGTGTTGCCTAAACTAGCAGTAATAATGCCCATGACATGACTAACTTTTTTTTTAATTTATAGTATCAGCAATAACCCAACAGCCATGTCCTTAGAAACACAAGTTTTTACCTCCTCATCAATTACATTTTCCCTTACTGTGAATGCTTGTTCATTAAGCTCCTGAACTCTATACTAAGTATCCAGTGACGGACCTAATGAACACAGGGCCCTGGTGCAAGATTTTATCTTGGGCCCCCCTCCCAAGTGGGGGATCACATAGGGGGCGGGGCATGTAACACACACACTTCTCCTCTCCGCCACCTGTTACTAGGGACGCGGCAGGGAGTGAGAGCGGTGAGTAATAGAACCCAGCCCCCTTGCTGAGAAGCCCGTCGGCAGTGCGGGGCCCCAGGGACCCTGCACTGCCCCATATTCCACCAAGGATCGGACCAGGACCAGACCTCACTGGGCCCCCCCACAGCCTCAGGCCCCGGTGCACCCGCACCGGCAGTAGTTCCGCCCCTGTAAGTATATCGGTACCCCGGTGTGACAGAAGAAGACAATCTCTATTGTACATCCCTAGGAATGGATGGTCTGCAGTTTAGAGAAGGAGACAGTGGGGAAATAGGAGGATGGTTTAGAGAAGGGAGGATGTGGGGAAATAGGAGGATGGTTTAGAGAAGGGAAGCAGTGCGGAAGTAGGAGGATGGTTTACAGAAAGGAAACAGGGGGGAATAGAAGGATGGTTTAGAGAAGGGAGGATGTGGGGAAATAGGAGGATGGTTTAGAGAAGGGAAGCAGTGCGGAAGTAGGAGGATGGTTTACAGAAAGGAAACAGGGGGGAATAGAAGGATGGTTTAGAGAAGGGAGGCTGTGGGGAAATAGGAGGATGGTTTAGAGAAGGGAGGCTGTGGGGAAATAGGAGGATGGTTTACAGAAAGGAAACAGGGGGAAATAGAAGGATGGTTTAGAGATGGGAAGCAGTGGGGAAATAGGAGGATGGTTTAGAGAAGGGAGGCAGTGGGGAAATAGGAGGATGGTTTAGAGAAGGGAGGCAGTGGGGAAATAGGAGGATGGTTTAGAGAAGGGAAGCAGAGGGGAAATAGGAGGATGGTTTAGAGAAGGGAAGCAGTGAGAAAACAGGAGGATGGTTTAGAGAAGGGAAGCAGTGGAGAAATAGGAGGATGGTTTAGAGAAGGGAAGCAGTGGGGAAATAGAAGGATGGTTTAGAGAAGGGAGACAGTGGGGAAATAGGAGGATGGTTTAGAGATGGATGCAATGGGGAAATAGAGGAGGATGGTTTAGAGAAGGAAGCAGTGGGGAAATAGGAGGATGGTTTAGAGAAGGGAGGCAGTGGGGAAATAGTAGGATGGTTTAGAGAAGGGAGGCAGTGGGGAAATAGGAGAATGGTTTAGAGAAGGGAGGCAGTGGGGAAATAGGAGGATGGTTTAGGGAAGGATGCAGTGGGGAAATAGGAGGATGGTTTAGAGAAGGGAAGCAGTGGAGAAATAGAAGGATGGTTTAGAGAAGGGAAGCAGGAGGATGGTTTAGAGAAGGAAGCAGTAGGGAAATAGGAGGATGGTTTAGAGAAGGGAGGCAGTGGGGAAATAGGAGGATGGTTTAGAGAAGGGAGGCAGTGGGGAAATAGGAGTATGGTTTAGAGAAGGAAGCAGTGGGGAAATAGGAGGATGGTTTAGAGAAGGGAGGCAGTGGGGAAATAGGAGTATGGTTTAGAGAAGGAAGCAGTGGGGAAATAGGAGGATGGTTTAGAGAAGGGAAGCAGTGGAGAAATAGGAGGATGGTTTAGAGAAGGGAAGCAGTGGGGAAATAGAAGGATGGTTTAAAGAAGGGAAGCAGGAGGATGGTTTAGAGAAGAAAGTAGTGGAGAAATATGAGGATGGTTTAGAGAAGGATGCAGTGGGGAAATAGGAGGATGGTTTAGAGAAGGGAAGCTGTGGGGAAATAGTAGGATGGTTTAGAGAAGGGAAGCAGTGGGGAAATAGTAGGATGGTTTAGAGAAAGGAAGCAGTGGGGAAATAGGAGGATGGTTTAGAGAAGGGAAGCAGTGGGGAAATAGGAGGATATTTAGAGAAGGGAAGCAGTAGGGAAATAGGAGGATGGTTTAGAGAAGGAAGCAGTGGGGAAATAGTAGGATGGTTTAGAGAAGGGAGGCAGTGGGGAAATAGGAGGATGGTTTAAAGAAGGGAAGCAGTGGAAAAATAGGAGGATGGTTTAGAGAAGGAAGCAGTGGTGAAATAGGAGGATGGTTTAGGGAAGGGAGGCAGTGGGGAAATAGGAGGATGGTTCAGAGAAGGGAAGCAGTGGGTAAATAGGAGGATGGTTTAGAGAAGGAAGCAGTGGGGAAATAGGAGGATGGTTTAGAGAAGGGAGGCAGTGGGGAAATAGAAGGATAGTGTAGAGAAGGGAAGAAGGAGGATGGTTTAGAGAAGGGAAGCAGGGGGGAAATAGGAGGATGGTTTAGAGAAGGGAAGCAGAGGGGAAATAGGAGGATGGTTTAGAGAAGGGAAGCAGTGGGGAAATAAGGAGATGGTTTAGAGAAAGGAAACAGGAGGGAAATAGAAGGATGGTTTAGAGAAGGGAGGCTGTGGGGAAATAGGAGGATGGTTTAGAGAAGGAAGCAGTGGGGAAATAGGAGGATGGTTTAGAGAAGGGAAGCAGGAGGATGGTTTAGAGAAGGGAAGCAGTGGGGAAATAAGAAGATGGTTTAGAGAAAGGAAAGAGGAGGGAAATAGCAGGATGGTTTAGAGAAGGGAGGCTGTGGGGAAATAGGAGGATGGTTTAGAGAAGGGAAGCAGTGGGAAAAAAGAAGGATGGTTTAGAGAAGGGAAATAGGAGGAAGGTTTAGAGAAGGGAAGCAGGGGGGAAATAGGAGGATGGTTTAGAGAAGGGAAGCAGAGGGGAAATAGGAGGATGGTTTAGAGAAGGGAAGCAGGAGGATGGTTTAGAGAAGGGAAGCAGTGGGGAAATAAGAAGATGGTTTAGAGAAAGGAAACAGTGGGGAAATAGAAGGATGGTTTAGAGAAGGAAGCAGTGGGGAAATAGGAGGATGGTTTAGAGAAGGGAAGCAGTGGGGAAATAGAAGAATGGTTTAGAGAAGGGAAGCAGTTTTACAAGTACAGATGTACATCATCTGTACTTGTAGTAATACACCAGCCTGTGCGCTGTGCCTCTAGTAATGTTATCTAATTCCCCCCACATTCAAACTGTCCTACTCCTGGCCATCTATGGTCTCTTAATCCTGAGAGTTTGATAGAAGGTGGTCAGTGGCAGGGCACATTTGTATCAGCAAGAACAGGGAAAGCCTCTGAGAACTACTGGGCAATTTCTGTCTGCCGGTTAAAGCAAGCCTGGTGATGTGTGATGAAAAATCATATGTCACTGCTAAAACCACCCAGAAAAAGCCTTTTTTTCAAGCTGAAATGAATCAAACTTTTGTGCAGCTGCTGCATGTAAGCTAAACGAACAAAAAAACAAATTCAAAAGCCAAATATGTGCTGCCATTCGCTGAGGCTGTCTGTAAAAATCAGTGTTCCATAGTGTCACATAAGGCATCCCTAAGAGGATTTGTGTATTTTCAATGTTGCCCTGGAAGCTGAATGAAAAGACCCTTGCTCTGCTGTATGGTATTATTTAACGTATTTTCTGGCATTGGTACATGTCCCCCATGGCCTTTTTGACAATAGTTTGCTCATTAGCCCTACAAATTGCTCCGGATTTGCCCATATAGATTTAACTGGGATTTGCTGCTAAGTCTGGGTTTGCCGAAATTTCACACAACATTCACAGAATCGTCAGGGTAACCCGGGCAGATTTGCTCCATTCTAGAGGGTGAGGAGACAGTTCAGACAAGAGATAAGAACAATACAGAGAAAGGAGGCAGTGACCAGATGAGGGCACAATGAAAGGAGACAGTGCTGAGGATTCAGGCTGTGCAGAGGTAGCATGTCCTCTAGCTGCTAATGTCTGTCTGCCCTGGCTGGCTCCTGGGGAGGAGGGATCTCTAGTATTTGTGTTGCAATCTGGATACACAGTAACAGGAGTGGCTGGAGGAGGGAGCACACTGTGTTGATTGGAGAGGGATACAGAAAACTAATTTATCCCTCTGAACCCAGATAAACACACAGACTGACTGCGGAGAACTGCACAACACAGGAGCAGAACACCCATATACAGGTGATGTGACCTCTGTCCATCCATCAACACTGCATCCCTTCCATGCTCTCCCTGTACCTCTCCAGCTGTGTCAGTGCGGAGGTCTCTTCTCCATTCTTATTCTTCTTATCATACTTAAAATTTCTCTGAGCTGTTTAAGTAACTATGTGGCACCTCTCTGTGTATTTCATGTGCAATAGTGCAGAATAAATAGATTCTTGAACTTGGAAAGTACAGAAAAGCTGCAACTCAAAAGTGTCCGCTGCCAGCCAGATAAATAGCATTTTCAGGTGACGGCAGCATTTCCTATAACATGTATCTGGCAAATTCAACAGATGCCATAGAATCTTTAGGGCTCATACACACCATGTGCAGTGACCTGCATTTTTCAACATTGGATCAACACAGGTCACTGCAAGTGCAATGGTTTTCTATGTGCGCTGTGCATACTACAACACTGTGCTGATGTGCGTTGCAGGGAGTTGTATTTTAATGCAATGCACATGAACGTATGTAAATGCAACATACATCAACTGAAACAAATTAGTAATTATTTTCCCTTCCGGGAAAAAGAATTGAAAAATGCTCAACCACGGATGACATTAAAATACATGAAAATGCACATAAAAAGGTAATGCAACATGCATGTTAACACACGTAAACATGCATGCCTTTTCTCTGCTTTGCAGTATGGTGTAAAAGGGCATGGGTGTAGTGAGCTGGAAAAAAAGTGAGGAATAACATGATGGAAGGGTTGCATGCATTCCCGTGTAAATTGACTCTGTTGTTTGCAGGATTATAAAAAATGAATTGAAGCAAAGGTTGATTTGACTTCAAACTAGGAAATTACCGTCCAAGCTCTGAGATTTCTCCCGGTATGTCACACACACAGTCCCTGAATACCTCACCTCTAATATGCGTCCCTGTCGCATACCTGTCAGTATGTAACTCCCAGAATTTAAGTGTTGGTCCCATGCATTCCTCATGTCTATCCTCCCTCTTCTGGAAATTCTCTGTGGTGAAGTCTGCATGTCTCCGTGTCACAGTCTCTGCTGGTCCCTGCTGTCTCTGTAGATGGGGTGCCAATGGAAAATATGTGGTATGGAGAACAGTTTACTGAGCTTCCAGAAACAACCCCCCACATACAAGCACCAGACCCCCCATTATGAGTCAGTCCATATAGTACATTAACATGAATATTGGGATAAGTCCAGTGATTGTGGTCAGAAGGCTGGGGGTGTTGGAGCAGAAGACATTTACCTCATGGAATGGGTGGAAGGGTTTGAGAGGCTTCACTTCTTGGCTGCTTATCACAGTGCTTATATCACACATCCCTCCATGTTTGTCATATAAAATAGCTGCATGACTCTATAAGTCAGTCTCTTTATGTCTTACACTCCCTCCATGCCTCTCATAGTCCCTCCACGTCTCACAGTTCCTCAATGTCTCATAGTCCCTCTACCATCTACCCCCTCCATGTCTATATCACAAGCTTCCTTCCATGTGTTTGTCACACAACCCCTTCAAGTTTCTTTTACACATCTCCTCCATGTTTCTGTCGCATGTGACCTCCATGTTTCTGTCACAAGTCCCCCTCCGTGTTTCTGTCACACGTCCCCTCCATGTTACTATCACACATGCCCTCCCAGTTTCTGTCACAGGTCTCCTCCATGTTTTTGTCACAGGTCTCCTCCATGTTTCTGTCACACATCTACTCCATGTTTCTGTCACACGTCTACTCCATGTTTATGTCACATAGCTTGATGACATAGATGACATGTAATGGGTGCACTCTGTATTAAATGTATATTTGTAATACTAATAAAAACAGTACATGTTTCTATTACACATGCCCTCCATGTTTCTGTCACAGGTCTCCTCCATGTTTCTGTCACAGGTCCCCTCCATGTTTCTGTCACACATCCCCTCCATGTTTCTGTCACATGTCCCCCTCCATGTTTCTGTCACATGTCCCCCTCCATGTTTCTGTCACATGTCCCCCTCCATGTTTCTGTCACATGTCCCCCTCCATGTTTCAATCACATGTCCCCCTCCATGTTTCTGTCACATGTCCCCCTCCATGTTTCTGTCACATGTCCCCCTCCATGTTTCTGTCACATGTCCCCCTCCATGTTTCTGTCACATGTCCCCCTCCATGTTTCTGTCACATGTCCCCCTCCATGTTTCTGTCACATGTCCCCCTCCATGTTTCTGTCACATGTCCCCCTCCATGTTTCAATCACAAGTCCCCCTCCATGTTTCTGTCACACGTCCCCTCCATGTTTCTGTCACAGGTCTCCTCCATGTTTCTGTCACAGGTCTCCTCCATGTTTCTGTCACAGGTCTCCTCCATGTTTCTGTCACGCATCTACTCCATGTTTCTGTCACACGTCTACTCCATGTTTCTGTCACACGTCTACTCCATGTTTCTGTCACATAGCTTGATGACATAGATGACATGTAATGGGTGCACTCTGTATTAAATGTTTATTTGTAATACCAATAAAAACAGTACAAGAATAACAAATCCCAACCACAATGTTTTCATTATATCTCATTTATTATGATCAAAATATGCAAAAGACACAGAGTAGAATAGAAACAATATAATCACAACATGAGCCTGGGTATGATCCTTGTGTCCAGCACATAACAACACAAAAAGACTTCATGAAAACTGTGCAAATATGTGTGTGTACAGAGAACTAAAATACAAACATGTGATGTACAAAATAGAGAATTACACATCCCAGCGCAATGGCAGCAAGCCAGGCTGAGGAAAGGTCATGTCTTATCCTAACATGTTGGGGTCCTGACCCCTGACCTCTTTCTCAAGGATTACAATGCCTGGATGGTGGAAGCGTTGGAAATCCTGGGAAGAGCAATTGATAGAAAAATGATTATTGCTACATAGTTACATAGTGAGTCGGGTTGAAAAAAGACTCAAGTCCATCGAGTTCAGCCAACCAATGCTGATCATTGACAATCTCAATAGGTTTCACTTTGTTATTATGTTGCATTGAACATAGGTATGTGAAGTTATGATGTCCTTTTTATTTTCACATTTCACCAGAATCTATTTAATCTTGCAGTGTCCTCATGGTGACGGAGGAGCTGGCGGTCGCTGCCCCTGCCATGGAGAGTATATTGCCGCAGCTTCTCTCCCCATCTCGCCAGGAGGTGCAGCAATGTGTAGAATATCTGATGAGTGAGGTGCAGAGTCGCTGTGAGGAACTGGTGGAGAATTTGGTGAAAGACACGAGGTGTAGTCAATACTTAGCCGCTTTATGCAGCCAGCTGGAGACACCCAATGTCCGGTAAGAAACCTACTCCATTGTATTCTCACCTATAGAAAATCATAGATAAAGCAGAGCTGGGCATACTCCAGCCGCCAATTTACCAATGAAACTATCGTTTCATGAAAGAAAATCTAAGGCCCTTTTTTCATATCTTTGTCACATGCAATTTTCATCTCTTTCTGTCTCAGAAACACAACCGGAAGTTAGAGGAAGCCTCTCTAAAGTAAAGCAAATCCTCTCTTATGGTGGAGCATATACTATATACCTGTATATACGATCATAATTTTGATCGATTTGGTGACTGGGAAAAAAAGGTTACGATCTGACCACCGATTAACCACCATCACAAAAATTGAATCACAAGATGTGTTCGGCCCATATAATCGAAGTCGATCAAAAGTAATATTGGAAATAGCAGTATAAGCCCTAATCGATTCATTCCATTCCTATAAGGCAATCGTTTAAATAAGTATAAACAAATGAAAAGGTCGTTCGAGGTGCTATATGCGTAACAATCATATCATTGTGAGAACATTTTCCACACAGACCGATCCTAATAATTTCAGCAGGTTTGATCTAATTCAGTAGAAGACCCAGTATATGTCTTTTCAATAATTAAAAGACTTTTAATCAGATGGTTACATGTATGGCTACCATGAGACACCTGTCACCAGAATAAGTATCTCAGTTAGAAGATTTTCGCCTTTACTTACGTTCCGGTGACAACTCAAAATCAGGATTTTCCTCCACTATTAGTCCCAGGGACAATGGCCTCCAAGACAAACAGAGAAGATGAATCTCCCCAGTGGGCATATATACAGCAATGGAAACCTGACCGCATTTCTAACCCTTCCATACTTCATCTAAAACGAAAAAATGGCATTAGTTCCATGATCACATGCTGGTCTAATATATTTTAATCCCTGGGGGCTGGAGGCAGAAGAAATTATTAACTTAAAGGAAGAGGAGATCAGGAGGAGGCGCTCACTAGTGGAGTGATGTACCTTTAGAGTCTACTGGTTAGGATCAGGGGTGGGCAACTCCGGCCCTCTAGCTGTTGTGGAACTACAAGTCCTATGAAGCATTGCAAGACTCTGATAGTTACAGGCATGACTCCCAGAGGCAGGGGCATGTTGGGATTACACAGCTGAAGAGCCAGAGTTGAGCCCCCTCCTGAGCTTAGTAGTAGGCAGGGCAGAGACACAATGCATTGAGAAGTGTCACCCTCTAGCTATAGTCTGGCAGAATTAGAAAAATATAAATCACAAGAGTACATGAAAGACTTACAAATAATTTGGCAATGTTACCAGTTGATGTATACAACTTGGTTTTATTTGGCTCGCTGCAGTTCTCCTTTAACTGCATGTATTTAGCACATGTGTTGTTAATGTTTACGTGATAGTTTGAGCCCTTAGTAGTTGTGTTTTAGATTTTTTTCTTTTACATTTTTTATTGGTAAACATTAATACCTCAGCAACACTGACCGCACTTAAGATACTCACACATAGACATGTACAGTATATAGCGAAATACAAAAAGTATTTTTATTCATGTAGTCCACAACTTTTAAAAAAAAAAACATGTCATGTACGATTTGATGAATAAATGGCTCACTGGAGTTCCACATGCCTCTCCTTAGTCCCATCAACCTTTCACTGCACTAAATATAATCCAACCCTTATAAATTTCAATCCATATTCCAGGGTATGTTTTTCAATAGTTCATAGAAGCAGGTGATTCGATGGGGTTCACTTGACGCGTTTCACAGATGTGCGTTTTGCTTCATCAGGAATTAAGTGAGGCATTGAAATTGTCAACAAGGAACATCATATCAATAAGGTTGACTGTTGGGCGAGCATAAGGACCCAAATGGACAATCCCCCTCAATCGGATGCTATAAAACAGCAATAAACCTATCACATATGGCCGGTATAGGTGTAATATTTAATAGCCATATCCATTCCAAGACATGCATCGTTCTTACTGATGGTAATACAATGATAATGTGTGGGGAGTGAGAACCCACCTCCTCCCCATACCACTCTGTGATGGCCCATTTATTGCAAAACAAGAAAAAAAAACTTTCCTACATGTTGTGAACATACAAATGTTGACATATACAGAAATATACGCTGCACCTCATAATATAAAACAGATACCCTTATGAAAAAACAAGTTCCATCTCCGCAAAAAAGTATTTCCATTTCCCTAGGTAGTGTCACGTACCTGATGGAGCTTGAGATGACGAGAGCCGAAATCTGCTGACATAGATCCTCCATGATAAAGAAGACCGCCCTTTCAAGCTCCGGATGGCTGAGTACTACTGTCACGTACCTGATGGAGCTTGAGATGACGAGGGCGGCCCCTCTCTTGCAACTCTGGTCCCAGAAGGCCTGATAGAGAAGACAGGTACTCTGGGGCACAGCGGGGCACGAGTGCCTGGATGAGGACTTCGGTAACAGGTGGTAAAACAAACATTTTCTCACCCCGAAAAAACAAACCATCCTGCTCTCTGAGCTCAATATCTGGAGGAATGGAATTCCTCGACACGGTCCGTCGAATCTGGGATAAACGTCGCAGATGCGCGCACGCACGCGCATGGACGTCTGTGTGAAAGTGCACGGCCCGGCCTGACACTGCGGGTCACGCCGAGCGCACGCCATCTGCTGTGTGCGGTTTTCCTGACAGGTAGTTATATATAATTACATGTGAGAGCTGAGATCCAACATTCTAGGGGTCAGGGACATGTTTTAGATATTTATCAGGATGACCATTTTAGGCCGGTTAGGTATAGTCCATATCATAGGCACCTTTCAAAACAATTTGGCAATGGCAGCAGCCATATTGCTATCCTGACAACTTCACTTAGTTACACCGATTAGGTAGTGTGACTCATCTGAATGGACACTTACCTGAGAACTTAAAGGGAACCTGGCATTAAAGAATCATGGAGGCTGCCTTAGCTGCAGTTGCCTGGCTGCCATGATGACCCCTGGGCTTTAATAGTCACTGACCTGAAACAAGAGTGCAGATAGTATATTTGATTTTTCATTTATTTTCCTGCCCTCTATACTTGTTCGAAGTCAGTGTATTAAAGCCAGACACATTCATGTAACAGGGCTGTCCCTATGATGAGGCAGCATCTCTTTGGGTCATGTGGAGGGAGGGGGTGGCAGGCAGGGCCCCATGTGCCTGCTGCCCCCCTTTCTGGCCAGAACGTTCCAGGTTGCTAAGAGCCGGGCAACCTGGGACGTCCCCCGCTCAGCTCCTGGCAACCAGTGAGTTCACTGGTTGGCAGTAGCTGATCGGGACGCACACCCCCCCGTCTTCCTTCCCCGGTTAGCATGCACCACTGGCCCACATAACTCCACCACCTCAGGCGGAGAAAATGCTAGGGACAGCCCTGCATGTAAATAGCATTTTCAGTAGGAGGTCAGCAGTGGCAGCCCCTGTGTTTCTCTACTGACTGGTTCACTTTAAATTAGCATCTCTACTATGAGTCTGACCTTGTGCAGGCAGAGAGACACACAAGCAGGGATTCATTAGATATCATCAACAGAGCACATTAAGAGGTGCAGGTCACAAAAAGGGGTGCGGAAATGAGTTCTAATAACAGGCCAGACTCACTTCACCCCCTGAGTGTAAGTTCTTGGAGTGGAGCGCCCCTTTAAGACCTGCACATGTTCCTGAATACTTAAGCCTCTTGTTCCAAGTTCCAGTCAACTTGACATGATTTAAAAGGGATTACTGAGAATTATGGCTTAAACCTGTTAAACATGGAAAGTACATTGAGAGTCTTATTAACAGAGGCTGTCCTCCAAATACACACATTGGGGAGACTCCGGGTGGAGTGTACACAAGGTGGATCCACGTTCAGTTGCGGCAGGAAGGTATCGGCCTGGGATCATGGCATAATAGACTGTCTGAACATGATCTGTCCGCAGAGCAAACACATCCCTTAAGAAGCATGACAGATCCTCGGCAACCAGAGCTTAAATAAATTGTAGGGTAAACAGCAGGACTATAGGGACAAACACTGTGGGCCAATAGGGAGCCGCTTACCAGGCCGTCATGGTGGCTTAAAAGGTCAACCTGCAAAACGATAAGTTTTATATTTTACCAACAGCAGTGGCATAACGTGTGTGTTAACGCAACACCCAAAACCGTGCATTGTACACTGCGGTGCCATTGAGTCTTAAAGGAGAACTATGGCCTAACCCTTTTTTGCCATAGTTCTCTTCAGGGTCACAGGAGGACATATACTAATGTCTTCCAGTGACCCAAAACTCAGTATATAGCGGGCTATTGCCTGCTGTATACTGAGAGCACAGAGTCATGCCGCAGCTGGGACAGATCCCGACAATACTGCGGAGATCCACCCCTGGCTGATTGACAGCTGGCTCTGCCTCTCCAGCAGCAGAGCAAGCTGTGCCCACCCCTCCCCGCCCGTTCTTCCAGTCAGTGCTGGAGAAACGGTGAGGGGAGGGGGGAATCCCTGTAGGGAGCGGTGACTGACAGTCACTGCTCTCTGCTGGGAGAGGATCAGAAAGTCAGCGATCGGTGGCATGTGTTTGCTGACTTCCCAATCAATAGAGCCTACCTGTGACAGCTTTAGTGTCACAAATCGGCTTGAATTATGGGGATGAGTGGATTTCACTCACCCCATAATTCTCCTTTAATGGCATCTGAACGCACTTGTGTTGTAGAGCACCACAATGCACAGTAATGCCTTTCCATTCATTGCGGTGCACTGCAATAGAAAAAATAGAGTAAGCACCTTTTTTGGTGCGTTAGGCAGATGAATTAAATGCACATGCGTAACCGCAGTGCATGAGTGGGGATCCAGCCTTACAGTAACTATTTTTAGTAAAAAGGTCTGCAATAACTTTTTTATTTTTATATTGGGATATGCTATGTAGCCATTTAATACAAAAAGTATACATAGTACTTAGTGAGTTCCCATTAAAGCTGAACTCTAAGCAGATATAAAAGACACAAATAATGTGTCTCTGCATTTTTTAATAGACCATTAAATGCATTTTTTAAATGCAAAACCTGGTATTTCCTGCACAGCAAATAGAGAGAGAAGCATACAAGCAATCAGTTCATGTAATAACAATTAACTTGCTGATGGGAGAAGAGAGCAGAGTGACATAGAGATGAGCCCATCGGTCTGCTGCTTCCCCTTTCATTGTCCAGTCACAAGCGTGGGGAGGGACAAGACCAGTAAGTGTTACTAAATGGCAACAAAGAAAAATCAGGTCTCCTGCCTTCTGGACTGAAGTACAAATCAAACAGCTCCAATATATTTATTCCATCTGTTTTACTTTGCTGTTTACCTAGAGTTCAGCTTTAAAGTATAGCTACAGCCCAAACTTTTTTTTTGTTTTTGCCTAAGTATTGGTTAAAAGCTGTCAGTTTTGGGTTTCTTTTGCTGCCTATCCAGAGACACAGCAGACAGTGAGGACAAATCCCCTCTTAGACAACTGCCACCCTGATGTCCCCATTAGATTTCCTCTCACTTTCTATTCTAGTGACAACTGAGGTGAAACTCCCTAATGGGGACAGGGAGATCCCTAAAACCTGACAAAGAAAGTATGCTTAAGATACCCTATAACAGGAGCGCTGATGAGGCAGAGTGTAGCTTTAGATCAGAAACTAGGGCAGAAGACATAAAAAGGCGGTTGGGATCACACAAGCATGCCCATCTGTTCTTTTTGACTATTTAGGAACCATTTTATGAAAATCTGTGGATGTCAAGTCAGAACTTCTTTTATAGTTTTGGATAGTGTGAAAAGCTTATTATTCCAATCAACTTTCTATTGCAGTCTATGTACCCGCAGGGAAGATCAACAGGGTTATTTCCAAAAGTATGAAGAGCTTGGAGGAGGCAGGAGGAGAGAACAATCTAGGACAAAAAAGCTGATTTGGAAAAATTCTCTAAATCTGGCCATATACCTTATACCAGAGGTTCTCAACCTGTGTGACCTCAGGACCCACATTTGTCCTTGGTCATTAGGTCGTGACCCAAGTTGCAATGGAACGCATGGCATTGCGGTACCGATGCAGGCAATAGAACTGTGGGTGGGAGATGCGTTTGGGGTGCCATTTGAATGAATGGCAATGCAATGCACCTCTCACACCAGAGCATGTGATCAACGCACTGTACTAGTGTGAACTGGCCCTCAAAAACACTGATAGACACACACAACCACAGACACAATCTCACAAACATTCTCACACCCATACGCACTCCAAGAAAAAAATAATTTAAAAAATCACCCCAGTCTCCCTACCTTACGAGAACTGGAGTGGATCCTCAACGTGGGGTCCAGTGTGGGCTGCTGTGCTGTGATGGAGCTCCATCCATACATGCATTGCTTGTATAGCTCCCTTGCGTGCCCTGTAGAGGTGCCGGGAGACAGAATGTGACGTCACTCCGGTCCAGGCACCTCTACAGGGCAGACGAGGGAGCTGTAAGCAATGCATGTATGGATGGAGCTCCCTCGCGGCCATAGCCCCAGCCCATCCCACCTCAAGCTGACAGTCGGCGCCGGGCAGCATATTTTGAATGGCTGCTTGGTTTGAGAACTGACAGTGCTGCGCTAGGGGGAGGCTGAGGAGCCTATTAACCTAGAAAAGTGGAAGGCACATGGGGACCCACTGAACATGGGGTCGCGACCCACTTTTGGGTCACAACCCACCGGTTGAGAACCAAGGCCTTATACTGTATGCAGATTTTCTATGGTCAGATGGAAAAAGTTCAACAGATTCCTCCATCTACACTAAACTGTGTGAATGGAGGACTCTCCCACTGGGCCAAGCTTCAGCATGCTAGTCGGCCTGCTGGCTCTCAAAATATCTGAACAATCTGATTGGTTGCAGGCATTGTTCAGATATTTTGAGAGCCAGCGGGGCCGACTAGCAAGATACTGAAGCTTGGCCCAGTGGGAGATTCCTCCATCTACACAGTTTAGCGTAGATGGAGGAATCTGTTGCACTTTTTCCATCTGACCATAGAGAATCAGCAGATAATCTATAGGTGTATGGTCAGCCTTATTCAGCTCACTTTCCAGTTCAGGTATGTTGCCACAGGGACTGGAGGTGAGAGTACACCTTTTAATGAGAAAGCGTGTTCAGGTGACAACTGTCTAAAGCTCCATTCACGTTTAGGGGTTTATTGCAAATTCCGGTGGCAAGAATCAGAGGATTCCTGCAGCAGGAAGGATAGGTGTTTGTGAATAGCTGCGGCCAAGAAGCTTTTACAAAGCAATGAGCCATCCATGGCTGTGTGCACATCCAGCGATTAGCTGCCGTTACGGACACATATTTGTCCCTGGACACTAACTGCAAGAATGATTGAGAGATGATATTCCCTAGCTTCAAAGAGACAGCAACAACCTGACAAACTAAAAACAAATGTTGGCTTTACATACACTTTAACTACTTCTTGCCTGCGCCCCCCCATTTGCTTTTGTTTTGTATTGAGAGGGATTAGCGCCTCTGACTGTATCCTTGCGGTCGTTCTGAAAACACTGCTGCTATTTATCAGCTTGTTTACAAGTCCTGCCCCAGGTTGGTTTTGCCATCCACGTGTGCTCCTGGCATTGTTCCATTGCTGGCTCCACAAGCCTCCGTTTGGTTGGAATTGTTTCCCCAGCAACTGCTGGGACGGGGCTGTTTACTGTTCGCATTTCCTCTCTGTACCATGAGGGAAGATAGGTGTGTGTGAGGAGGGGAGGGGAAGGGGCGAAGACAAGGTCTGCTTGACACCTGAGTGCCATGGCCATTTAGATGGGGTGTACTACATAAAGGGTTAAAGACCCTACCAAAAGATATATTTTTAGACAGATATGAAGATCAATTGTATGCATTTAATTGAAAGCAATTAGTGAGTTGCTAATGTTATCCAGCAAACACTGCCAGTGTGCTAAAATCAGATCCGGCCCTTTATGATGATGGAACAATTCACTACAAAATCCAATGGGTGCTTTAGGGGAGTAGTACTTACTCAAGACTGAGCTGTGTAATTGCTCATGATATTTCCTCCCTCCCTGTGTCAACTCCCCGACTTCTCTATCAAGATCAATAGCACAACTATGAGCCCCTTCACTCATGCCAGGGTGCTAGGTGCAATCCTGGACTCTGACCTCTCCTTTGGGCCCCACATCCAAACATTTTGCAAATCTTGCGGCCTTCACCTGGCCCCTTCTTAACCAATAAAACTGCAAAGCTCATTCCCTTGTCATCTCTTGCCTTGACTGTTGCAACTCCCTTCTTGTTGGCCTACCTTAACAATGGTGATCCCTCCTTTAGTCTTCCATGATTAAACCAAGCATTCAGTTTCCGCCCCTCCCTATGCCAATCCCTTAACTGGATTACAATAGCCCGATGTATTAAATTAAAAATAATAAGAGCAACATACAAAGCCATCTACAGCTCTTCCTCCAGCTACATCACCAACCTCATGTCAATATATATCACCCACACTGTCTCCTCCGCTCCATCCAAGATCTCCTACTTTCTAGCTACCTCATCACCTCCTTCCATGCTCGACTTCAGGACTTCTCCAGAGCCTCTCCCGCTGTCTGGAATTCCATACCCCAAACTGACTGCCTCTAGGAGTAAGGAAGGATTGTAAAGGTAGCTAAAGTTTATAAGACTTTTTGCCTTTTTCTGGATCAGCTAGGATTTCTACGGATTGGTTTCTTTCAGTTGAGTGTGATGGACATATGTCTGGCCAAAGGGTGGGGATAGCCTACAGATAAATGGTTGCCCTAAGTACTGCGTGTAGCATTGAGTGAGCATAGTATTGCATCTGATAGTATTCTGAGTAATGTCACACATTTCCATTGGTTGCAGGTTATGTAGTAACATTGCCTATATTCTGGGGACAGTGGCAGAAGACCCTGCGGTGGCTGAAATGCTGGTGGATCTAGCAGAAGGAGCATCAGAATGGGATCTGCTGGGGAGACTGGGGGCTATACTGTTATGGAATGATGCAGAAGCTGTTATGAATGCTGCTGGAGCCCTGGGAACGCTGGTGAGTGGTTGTCCCTGAAAACTGGTGTCTAGTCACTGTTTTAGCTAATCAAAGCAGAATGTATTAAATTTCTACTCTGTAATATACCTGCAGCTATCTTATTGGTGAACTTTACTTCTGCCTTCACGGGGATAAGGGGTGCACACTTCATCTCAACTCTCGTTCAACCTCAACTCTCCTTCATATCATTACCCATTCAACCCATCTATAAAAGTTAGCTGTTATCAACCACTGAGGTGTCCTCTCTCAGGGTAGGTTCACACCATTTTCTGGACCAGATCTGGTCTGGAAAATGGTGTGAACCTGTCCGCAGTTCCAGTGCATTCCAGACCAGAAAAAATGAGACATACAGTATTTTTCTGGTCTGGTCTGGAACGGACTGAACTGGTGTGAACAAAGGCCAGAAATAGCACATGGATGCATTTTGGGTCTTGAAACAATCTGGTCTGGTCTGGAGATGATCTGGATGTGGTGTGAATGGGCGCTTAAGATGTTATTGATGTCCAGTTGGAGAGATTTTCCTTTACTTAGTGACCACATGTGATGTGAGGGGACTGTCCACAACTAGGAAGCAGATATCAGAGAGTGTGTCTAAATCTTCCTCAATAAGTACAAACTAACAAAAATAAAAGGTTTTGCTGGAGTTCCTTTATTGATGTAAGATTGACAAGTTCACTTGGTGATGTTCTTCTAATTGTGGGGAGATCTCCATATTTTACACAGCACTCCAGAATGTGACTGTGACCTGGCCATGCGTTGTTTTCATCACCCTCAAGTTACATTTTAATGTATAATTTCAGTCTTAGGGCCTGTCCACACGACGTCCGTTTTCTGTGCTGACCTGATCCGTACGCTCCTGCACTAAAAATGCATCCCAATGTATCCCTATGTGTTTTATGGGCTACAGTTCTCAGGTGTTCAGGTTATGTCACATTTTGTCCGGTCAGGAAACGCACGAACGTGGCAAAAACGCAACGAAAACGGAACGCAATGCAGCTAAGCAAAACATTTTTTATTCTACATAGAGATAGACAGACAGAGTGGGAGATAGACAGACAGGTTGGGGTAGAGGTAAAGACACGAACTGCAAACATTTTGAACATGCCCATTACCTTCCCATGGACATACGAGCAAAGGAAAAAAATGTATCCAGGTGAGCTCGCAAATCCTCATATAAACTCCAGAACTGACCCTTGGAGTCCCGGTGTACCCAATAACGACGTCTCCTGCGAGCTTGTTCTCTGCAGATTGCTGTAGCCAGCACCATCAACATGCCTGCAAACATGTGATAATTGTCTGATTACCAGCTTTACATACACAAAGGGAAGTAAATGTTACGAGAGGGGGCGGAAGTGACCTCAGAGGAATGCATACTGACGGCCCCACGGCTTGAAAAAAAAGAAAAGAACTGTCAGCATCCGGACCGAAAACGCATCAAAAACGCGTCAAAAACTCACTGCATGAGTAGCACCGCGTCTGCAGATCCGCACCTGATCCGGACCTGATCAGGACCTGAAAATCATGTGAACAGGCCCTTAAAGTGAACCTGTACAAGCTCCAAGTCACTTTCCTTGGAGGTTATGCAAGGCTGAGGACTCTCCCTGCCCCCATGTGACAGTGCTGGGACAATCAGCAAGCAGCAGCGTTGTTAAGCAGAGTAAGTTACAAGCTCAGCTTTACCTGGAAGTAAAATGGAACAGTTGATTGGAATGGTGACAGAGAGAAGGAAAGGTGGTTCTGTGTTGATAGGGATGGGGGCACTAAAGCCATCCTGCTGCCCTTTCCTCTAAGCAGACGGTTGCTTTAAAGCAGCGGTAGCCAAACTCCGACCCTCCTGCTGTGGTGAAACTACAAATCCCATGATACATCTCAATGGGGAGTCATGTCTGTTGCTGTGAGAACCTTGCAATGCCTCATGGGATTTGTAGTTCCAACACAGCTGGAGGGCGGGAGTCTGGCTACCCCTGCTTTAAAGGATGCACGCTTGACATGTCACCTGCCTCCCCACAATGCAACACGTGGGGCCTGAGCAGCCAATCACCGTGTCCCAGCACACAAGCCTTCTGATCTGTAGTCTCATCGGGGACAAAAATATTGTGCAAAGGATTCTGGGTTACAAAATAAAGTACACATCACAACAACATCACACACACACACTGAGTATGTGATTGTTTCACCTGCCATGTTGCCTCTAATGTACATCCCTGACAATAAAATGTGATTTAGTTGTAATCTGCCAAGCCCTCTATTGTGTAGGTGACAGGTGATCTTTTCTGTCAAAGCCTGATCATCGTTTTGAGAAAGTGCCATTTCATGTTTGTTTTGGCAGCGGGTATAATTAACGGTTGGCGGCTCTGAGGGAAGATTATGTTACCAGTTACAGAGTCGGGCCTGCCAATAAAAACCCAACTGGGCTTTGTAGAGTAAAGGAACAACAACAAAAAACTAAATGTCATTCCTTTTGTTGCTGGCACAGCGTGTTTACAGTAGTGACATTCAAAGGTGATTGTACCTGCGTTGGCAAGCCATGGCACCATGTGATAACTGCATGCTGGTTCACACTCACTCTTTACTCAATCTCACACTGTCCAAAATTAACTTGTAAAGCTAAGGTGATTTACAGAGAGCCTTTTACCTTTTCACAAATGATGCTTAAAGGACATGCTGCCTCTGCCTGGTTAGGAAGGTTAATTTTAACACTAAGTTCCACACTGAATTGTGTCAGCAACTGGCAAGTGTGCACACATTTGGTAACAGTTAAGTGACAAGCAATGCTATATAGGAGAAGAAAAAGAAGGGGTGGTACAGTGTAATGTGTTTATATTGTATTTAGTACATAAAATGAAGGGTGCAGTTACACTTTCAAGAACTTAAGGTGAGTTTAACAACTACATACAGGATCATCCCTATAATGATGCAGCTTGAAGCCATTGCCTCAGGTGGCATCTCTTTGGGTCACATGGGGGGGAGGGGGGCGCCAGGCAGAGCGGCATGGCTGCTCTATTGCACAAAGTTTGCAATGTTCCTGCCACCCCCTTTCTGGCCAGAGCATCTCAGGGTGGTAAGAGCCAGGCAGAGAGATGTGTAATGGCCATACACCCTTATCTCCCTGTCAGGGCCGGATTTACTTCCTGGGAATCTGTAGGCAGAGAAGTCTGAAGAGCCCGCCCCCCTTCCTTGCGGTTTGGGTCAGTATAACTTTGTTATATTAGCTCCTTAGGCAAAATGAGCACTTAACCCTTGCAGTGCAGGGGTAGCCCGACTGCAAAGGCTAAGGCCTCATTCACACACAACACAAGAGCAAAATTGTAAATTGTGTATATACGCGTACATGCGCGTATGTATACGCATATACGCGCTTATATAAACGCGCTTATGTGCGTATATGCGTGCACTATATGTAATCCCACAATGCATCATTCGTAATAGAAATTTTAATGAACTGTACGTGCATACATGCGTATACGCACACAAACACGCGTATATGCGCGTAAAATACGCAGAAATAAGCTGCCCGGACGCATCTCGGTTCCATTCAGTTTTTGCGCATTTTTACGCTATGCAAATATACGGCTCCATACGCAGCTATGTGTATGGGGCCATTTATTTGCATATGCTGCATATGGTACAATACACGCGTACGCACATATACGCGCGTATATTCGCGGCAGTGTAAATGAGGCCTAAGATTTTATTTCCTCTGGGTTCTGATCTCAATCTGAATCCCAGGCAAACAGCTAAATGCACGGATTAAATACATATTAGTGAATACAGAGCTGCAATACTTTGCTTTTTTTATATATGCCTAAGGTTCAGCTTTAATACAACACTTTCCAGTGCATGGCAATGCATGCATTAATATAACCATTAATATCCAAAAGAAATGTTCAAGCATGTAGGAAGAATCTTTTTTCTGACGTGGAATTTTTTAAAGTGCATCATTCTAAACATATCTTTTTTTTACATTTTGATAGAGCAGGGAGGGGGTTAGACCCCCTGTCAGGTTTCATAGCTGTCGATGCCCCTGCTGGAGTAATTCCCCTGCTCTGTTTGTCCTGATAACCATTAGGAAAATAGTAGGAAATCCGAAACCCTTGGTTCTCAACTGGTGGGTCGTGACCCAAAAGTGGGTCACGACCCCGTGTTCAGTGGGTCGCCGCATGCCTTCCACTTTTCTAGCTGAGAGGCTCCTCAGCCTTCCCCTAGTGCAGTAGTGTCCATTCTTACACTGAGCAGCCATTCAAAATATTCTGCCCAGCGCCTAGTGTGTACTTGAGGTGGGGTGGGCTGAGGGTATGGCCGCGAGGGAGTTCATCCATACATGCATTGCTTTTAGCTCCCTTGCATGTCCTGTAGAGTTGCCTGGACTGGAGTGACATCACATTCTGGCTCCCGGCATCTCTACAGGCGCACATAGGAGCTGTGCAAGCAATGCACATATGGATGGAGCTCCAGCACAGCAGCCCACACTGCCGTGTGTTCCATTGCAGTGCAACTTGGGTCACGACTGAATGATCAAGGACAAATGTGGGTCCTGAGGTTACACAGGCTGAGAACCACTGTCCTAAACTATACAATTGTCTCTGGAACAGGAGGTGAGAGTAAATCTTCCAATGGGGACAGGAAATTGGGGTAAGTTTTTGTCATATAGATTTATACATTAGGGTGGTATTTTTCTAAATATACCCATTTAGTTGTTGTTTGTCCCCTGTCCTCCTAGGCGGAGAATGGCAGTGGGAGGCGATGGCTGCTCTCCTCTCCAGATTCTGACTTCATCATTGAAAATATAACGAACCTCCTGGACTCCCCCAGTGATTGGACATCCAGTAACTGTGCCCTGGTGCTTGCACGCATCTCTATGTGCCACGAAGGCTGCTCCCGACTTCTGAATCACCCAAAATCGGACATGATATTGAGGAAAATCATTACATCACTACATGTAGATGAAGCAGGTGAGCTGGAGTGTCATCAAAGAGATTTAAAGACCAGCAATATGATGTTGCATAGTCTAACCCAGGGGAGGGCAATTCTGGCCCTCCAGCTGTGCTATACCTACAAATCCCAACATGCCTTTGCGTTTGGAAGACATGCCTGTAACTGTCAGTCTTGCAATACCTCATGGGACTTGTAGTTCCACAACAGCTGGAGTTGCCCACCCTTGTTCTAACCTTTTTGGGCAGATCAGGTGATGAACCTAATGTCTGAGTGTGGCCACAAATACTGCTGGTGGGAGGGAAGGGAAGAAAAAAGAAGGATGATTAGATAGAAATCCTTATCTTTTTCATGAACATGTATGCTTAGCACAGCCATGCGTGTGTCTTTACAGTGGTGTGACTTCCATCTGACTTATTTTCTCTTTGCTTGAGTGTTTCTTATGTTATCCTATGTGTTTCTCTAATGACAGGTATCCTTTCATCTTTTATCTCTGATTTGCTTGATGTTTCTGTTCTTTTACAGGCTGTGGACTGAATGCAGCATTTACTCTGGGACGTCTGTGTGACTCTGACCCTGGGAGGAGACAGGTGATGAGCCTGCCGGAAGCTGACAGGATGGTGAGCAGACTGAACGGAGGAAGGGTTCCCATTTATCAATTAGTAGTAACCTCATACTTTGCAGAGAAAACTGCAAAGAAAAGTAATTCAGCAGTTATTCAGTTTGTCATACAGCTGTCATTCAGCTAGAATGCTGATTCCACTGTCAGGCGCTCGAGCCACTTGGGGAAGCACCTGTACTAATGTAGCTATATATTTAAATAAGCTCAGAATTATTGTACTGCAATTAGTAATACTTTTCTTTTGAAACAAATAAATAAATACTCAATGAATTACATATGAGTCACTTTAAAAGGTGAAATCACAGCTGTATACTGTATTTTTTTCTTGTCCATTGATGGACACAGGAAGTCTTTAACCTTCATGTTATACTGCCAAGTACAGGAGAACTGGACACTGGCAAAACCAAATCCTGGCCAGCCCAGGATAACCCCTCCTTCTACCAGCATACCTCATTTTTTGCTAGTGTACTAAGAGGATAGGTGTTTTTTCCTCAGCACTGCTGTGTTAAACAAATAACCTATTTTTTTGTCAGGAACTTTTTTATTCTTTGATTTTATTTTAAAGTAAGATTCTTCTCAATGTCACTGCTGGAGCTTGCCTCTGTGTATGTAGTATGTAGCTAATGTCCTGAGCCTGGCTTATGGAGTCCTGGGTTCCATGTGGAGCATTTTTCAGACTCAGTTCTAGTAATAGGTATTAAGTGAACTGCAAATCACTTTCCTGGCATTACCTCAGCACTTCTGCTGTCTCTAAAGTCTCAGTTATGGTTGAATCTTTGTTTTATTTAGTGTTTGACAAATACAACAAAGGAAACTAAACAGGACTGATAAAGATGAATCAGAGTCAAAGCATGTGAAATACAAAAAGCATAAAACAAAAGTCCATAGCATGCTTTTCCAGGATCGTGACAAACCCTGAAGACTCAGTTAGGCCCTTTGTACATGAGCATTCCGATCAGGTCCACCTGTCAGTTTTATTATGGATCTGATCGGAAGCTTGAGGTTAATCTATGGGCTGTCGGATGTAAACAGATGTGTGTTCGTTCACATCCAGTTACCCCAACTCCATCCAGGTCTGGAAAAACAAACAGGTCAGAGTTCCTTTTCAACAGACCTGACTGTGCCAGATGAGAGGTAATCTGATGTAAATGGACAAGTGTCCATTTACATCCGACTCCACATAGACCAACATGAGTCCAGTAAGGGAAGATGGAGGAAAAAACTGGATGGACATGGATGTCAAAACAGTGACATCCGTTCCAATCAGCAGGGGATCTGTGCGGATCAGAACTGAAGGCGCCATCTGAAAAGGACCTTAGTGAGTAGGCTGTTCGAGCATTAACGTCATCTGCTGGAGGGAATGTTATGTGCGCACTCTGCGCTCTTTTTCTTGCCATACAGCATTGACGAAGCATCTCCCTGTTGCTGGTTCCTTCTTGCAAGAGCCAGGTATAACTTTGATCCTCGATCCGTTACTGTTTTCTGCCTGCAGTGACCTACAGCCCTTTTTGCTGAAATTTTTACCACAGGCATGCAAGAATTTATGGCCCAAATCACCCAGTTATTTGCTGACTCTGATCACAGATTCCACAAGCATGCTCCCTCACCCTCTCCCAGAGATTCTTTATCTGACTTTCCCCAAGCCTTAGGCTACATGCACACGGGCATCTGGGGATTCCTGCGGCAAGAACCTGCTCACCTGTCCCGATCCGCAGGTAATCATTCTATGTATGAATACATGCGGACTTCCACAGACAGATGGGGCTGCTGTCACCCAGTCCTTTACTTGAACGGTTACAGTGGATGCATCTGTATGAACCCACCTGGGATTCCCCAAATGTCCATGTGCATGAGGCCTTAATGGCAGCTGAGCAATCAGAGACTGTCTGACTCCAGTCCATGACTAATGACCTTATCCCTGAGGAGTCGCAGTCTACTGCTATTACTCCGAAAAAAAGGCGATTATTTGGGCTCTTATAAATGCAGTTTGCAAAACTTTGATACTAGAGAATCAGTCTGTTGCTGTTTTTAATCTTAGGTCATTTAAGACTCCTAAGGCTGCAAAGGCTATTACTTTGCACCAGGTTTTCTAACTCTTTCTATGTGGAGATTGGAAGAATCATTCAAAGTTGTTTGCTGCCCTCAAGCACTTATTAGCCTTATACCCGTTTGGTGAGGATTTTGTGCAGAAGTGGCCTATTTGTAGTGTGGATCTGGCAGTGTCATGCTTTAACAAGGCTCTTACTAATACAGTAGAAGATGCACTTGTCTAGGTGGCTTAGGCAGACCATTATGCAAGCTTATATTCACAAGGACCGGGTTCCACCCTTTCCTGTCAAGGCACACGCTTCTAGATCTGTGAGTGCTTCTTGGGCTTTTAAGCAACAACTGTTTCCAAGATTTGCAAGGCTGCCACCTGGACTTCTGGTCACACTTTGTCTCAAGTTCTATCAGGTGGAAATTCTAGCCTCCTATGATGCCAGCATTGGGAGTAAGGTCCTTCAGATGGCTCTTTGCATTGCAAGCAGTCCTCAATTCTCTTTTGTTTGTGTTTATAGTCATGCTTTCAGTACTGCTTCATTACAAAACTGAGGCATGTTAGTAGTAGGAAAGGTTTTCCTGGGCTGCCCTACATTTCTTTTTTGTTTGCCAGTGTCCAGAATTCCTGTAGGCAGCAATATAACCCAAAGGTTAAATACTTCCTCTATGCCTCAATAGACTTCTAAGGAAATGATTTTACAGTGAGTACAGAAATGCTATCATACTTGCCCTATCTGTATGTTGATTCATAAAGTTATGTTCATCCCTTGATAAATCCAGGTCTCTGCACTAAATGCCATGATGTCTGGAGGAGATGCCGGAGGGAGTCGGAATGCCTGTTTTGCCCTCACTTGCCTAGCTACAAGCCAGGCTGGCCACCAGCATGTCCTAAAAAGCGAATGCTTTCCCCACGTTTTGGATACCCTCTGTCACCTTGTGCAATCTGTAGAACAGGAGTCCTGCTGGTTTGCAGCTATGTAAGTAGTTGTGTTCCAGTTCTGGTGGTGGTGGGTGGGGGGCGTTTGTGTTTAGTGCTTCTAGAAACAAGGTTAAAATGCTGCCTATGGAGAGACAAGAGCTCTTTCTATGAATAGGAGTGGCAGCACTGACTAGCACTGTTTTCAACACTAACCATATCTTAGGTGCCTGGCTGCTTTGATAACTGCGTTGTTTGTGGCATCAAATCTGTTGACTCTCACTTAGGGACACAGACAGCAATACAATCTTGACTGAGGTTTTAGCCTTTTGCAATTCTATTCAAAGCTAAAAAACATTTTTGGCTGGAACTGGGCTTTAAACAGATATGGGAGGTCACAAAGCACAGTTATGTACAGTATATGGACTTTAAACCATATTGTGTGTAGTAACTAGTCAAACATGGACACAGAGTCCACCAAATAAATGTACGGTTAACAAGCAGCCACATTTGATATCAGATACATTTAACTCAATAAAATGATGGCCACAGTGCTCTGTTTTGTGAAAGTTTGACTGTCAAACGTTTTTCTTATTTGCAGAACCATAAAAATCCTATCCAAGTATCCCTCTGGTGTAGTGCGACTTCGTCAGCATTCTTCTCTGGAGGCAGTCCTTAAGGTAAGAGATTGCTACACTTTACAGCTACAAAATTATAATGGATATATAATCTTGATATATATAACAAGATTACATAAATGGATATCCAGCTTTGCTCGTGAGAGTTTACAATCTAGTAATTTAAAAGGTTTTTAAGCCTAGGACCTCAGTGCTGCAGGGCAAGCATCCTGACAGAACCCTGTGCTGAAAGAGAGTGCTACTGAACTCTAGGCAGATATAAAAGACATAAATGAATGCAGCTCTGTAATCATTAATACATCATTAAACATTTCCTGAATTTGACCTGGTATTAGTTTCTTGCAGACCCTGTTCTGCAGGGCTGTAGTGTGAGAGGGGGAAGCAGTACAAGGAGCCAATAAGTTCATATGCTGACAAAACGAATGTTGATTGGAAAAGAAACAGGGTAGCAGAGACATGTCACTCATCACTGTGCTTCTTCTCCTTTGACTGTCCAGTCACAGGCTGCAGTGGGTCCAGGACAACCTGGGCTCAGAGAAAGTGGGTTGAAAGGTATTGGCCATCAGACTGAGAGCATCTAGTGGCAGAAAAAAGTACTGTGGTGGAAATCTCTGGATTAAAGCTGCATAAGCTGGCTTTATTTTATCATTTCTATATTATTTTTGGCTGGCGTTCTGCTTTAGGTTTGGAAAACTGCTATGTTTTTACTGCTAACGAGGGCTCCTTTAAAGAGACTCACCCTCCATTACTCTCACAGTCATAATGGTTCCAGCAAACAGGAATTGAAGAAAAATCTGCAACAGACACTCAGACAGCATTAAAAAACACACGACGCGTGTGCTAGGCTTCCTCTACTCTACTTTAAATATATATTCTCTTTGTGTTTCTATTTGAGATTTTAATTTAATTTCCCTTCAAGGGAAACTGTGATAGTAAGTGAGTGGAAATCTCCAGCTAAAATGTAAATTCCGGGAGGGGTTCTAATCCTTCCTTACTCTATCCAAAGCTTAAAAATGTTTTGGCTGGGCATTAACTTTAAATTACACATAAATGGATAAATACTAAGATGTTACTAGCAGATTTTTGTAATACAATATTATATCAATTTTACAGTGTGTACCCTGCTGTCCACACATATCATGTAACTATCACCAAAATAGGCAGACTGATAATATTTGCTTTATATAGAAGTCATAACCTTTCTTCAAGTAGAAGCAGCTATTGCCGTCATTAATCAGAACCTGAAAGGTTGCAGTTGGTTGAACTAGAAATATTTGCCATCAATGAGATCTCGGCTTGTGTCTCGGTTAGTCAACCATTAATGACTGGAAATCCATCATCCCAGACCAGTGTACTTTGTGCATTCCTTTTCTGGTAGAGTGACATTAGTAGAGGGTGTGTAAATGGCCCACCACCCACCCCTTCCCCCCTCCAGTGTCTATGGACACCATGGAGAAATGCCCCATAAATATTTTACTGGCAATTCTGCTGTCACTGGGGATTCTGGGTAAGACTACTTTGTGAGTAATGGAGGACCTGTCACATTGGAGATGGTAACTATGGTTGCTTTGAAAGGGAGAGGTGATGGTATCAGTGAAAGGCAGCGACTGCAAACCAGACATTGAAGAAATGTTCAAGTAATTGGCTGTCTGATGGGTATCAAAAAGTGTTTTATGGACAAGTAAAGGCTAAATAAAAAAATAAAGGTGTGAAATACCCACATTGCTGTAGGTCATATGAGTGAGCAGCAGTCATTTTATTCATGGCAAAACATTAGTTTTAGTATTTTTTCTTAACTCAAAATGAATGTGATTCGTAAATGCTGACACAACCTATGGACTCACATCATGATCTGGCCATCTTCAGGTGAACACAATTCAAATGAGGCAGTCTTTTGACCCATGGCTGCCATATGAGCGCCATTCCAGACAAAAACTTTGATTGACAGACTGACTATAAGTCCAGATTCCAGCAGAAATAAGCCAGGCAAAGGCAGTTTGATGGGGAAGACTCTGTGCAGCATAGTTATCTATGAACTAGCATAGTTATCAATCAATAATAAGGTAATAAAATGCATCATCTAGTGCTGCTTCTGGCTGCTGTCGATTACAGCAGAGTTTCCAGTCTATCATAGGAGATGAGTTGTTTCTGCAGCACTGTTGGAGTAAGAAAGATTGACCATTACATAACCTAGGAAAACTCTGGAGAAGAAGACTGTTACAGGCCTAGATCCCCAATATATAGTAACTGTATAAGACCTGAATTTTTATGGGCTTATTAGCAGGTAAACACTGCACTCCTTTACAATAAAGTCTTGTGTCTTGTTTGTAGCAGGTATTTCTGGCCTCTTGCTTTGTTCTTATCTCCTGCTATATCCATTATACGTCAGTACATCATTAATATTTGTGAATCAGAATGTTGCAGCATCACATACAGCTGGAACGGAGTTGTTGGAAGAAGTGGAGATGACTTTACATAACCTCCAACGCCTCCCTCGGCCTGCTGCTCCTATAGCAAAGATCCTGGAGTCTGGCTCTGTAATGGTGGTTTGGCAGGAATATAATCCCCGAAGCGGACTTCCCATCACGTATAGGTGGGTAATAGTTTCCAAACTTGCTCATTCATTCCTGTGATTCCCAGCAAAGATGTCAGACAGAGCTACTGTGTACAATGGATAGACCAGATGCTAGATGATTCCATCAAAATTGTTAAGGTCATCTTGAGGCAGTTTGGTCTACTGTGAATCAGTATGTACTTTACCTCACTTTACCTTTCTTTTCCTTCCCTATTCCTTGCCTTTCTGCTTCCTTTCCTTCACTTTTATTCTCTTTTCCCTTCCTTTTCTTCTTGTTTCCTTCTTTTAATTTCCTTTCCTTCCCAGTTCCTTTGCTCCCTTTTTCGTCTCTTTTTAATATCTTTTCCATCCCTCTTCCCTTCCTTCCTGTTTTCATTTTCCTTTCCTTTCCTTCTTTGTTTTCTATTTCCTTATTTTTTCTCCAATTTCTTCCCCTTCCTTTTTACTTTTTCTTTCTTTCCCTTCCTGTTCCTTTCTCTTTTCCTTTCCTTTCTCTATTGTCTGCTCTCCTCTTATTGCTTTTTCTTTTCCCTTTAATTTGCTATCCTGACCTTTTCCTTTGCAAATAAGTCCAAAGTAATTAAAGTTAGATTTCTTTATAATAAAAAGTAATGTAGTCAACAAATCACATCCATTTGTTTTCTCTGCAGTCTCTTTGATGGCGATACACTCCTCTACCAGGGACCTTCTTTCTCCTATGTTATCCCACACTGCAAACCTGGACAGCACCATCTTAAACTAGTCATGGAAACAGAAGGGGATCGTAGTCCAGACAGTCCCATCACCACTGTGACAGTGATGGAGCCATTGCCTGGATGCCCAGCAGAATTTCAAGCTGTAGGTCGCACAGCCACCAAGGTGAAGCTAAGCTGGAACCCACCACTAGACTCCAGCACATACGTTAAATATTATGCAGTGTATCGAGAGGACTTCCTGGTGGAGACCACAACTGACCACACCTGTATTGTGACAGGTCTGTCTCCTTCCACTAGTTATACATTCAGTGTTTGCGCCTGCAATACCAGAGACCAGAGCCCAAAGGTCACATTGGTAACAAGGACATTGGACAGAGGCAATCAAGCTCCAGACAGACTGACAGTGTACGTTATAGGTCGGAGTGAATTGTTTATCACATGGGAAGTCCCCAAAGATCCTATTGGTAGATTTTTCAACTATGAACTGAGCATGAATGGGAAGTCAGTGTACCTTGGTACAGAGCGTTCCTATACAGCCCGCCGCCTTACCCCAAACACTGAATACACCTGCATTGTCTGTGCCATCACCAGCGAAGGTCGCTACGATAGCCGGCCTATCACCAAACGCACTGCCAAGGATGAATACAGCAATCTGAACAAGTATGGATCATTTCTTTATGCAATTGCTGACCATGCATGGATAATTGTCACATCAAGAACAATGGGCAATCAAGGGTTTGCCCATCATTTCTTTAACCAGTTCTACCACGACACTTACATCTTGGCTGATGTGTGTGCTGGAACCATCCACTTTTCTACATAACAAAGGGCACAGTCCATGCACCATATGTGTGCAACATTCATACGTTATCCTAGTGCAGCAGAAAAGTCACTGTGGGAAACGAACAGGTACCAGGGGGTTTCTCATGCTATTCCAACATGCATTGCCTGAATGAGATCTACAATGTATATAAAACACCCATAATGAACAGTCACAGATCTATTGTTAAAAATATTTTGAGTGCAGTATCACATACATCCATGGCCCAGTTACCTCAAGCAATACTTCAGACTGATTGTATCACTTGCAAGTGTGTTCTAAATAGGTTTGCTTAGATTGATTGTCTTGCAGTTCAACAATCTCAATGCTTTTACTGCCACAAAATACAAATCTACAGCTACCAAAATTTACAGTTATCATAGTGTGGACTGTTACATCTTTGGATCTATTCATAAAGGCAAATAAGGCTGCAAAAATGCATTGACCTACGGCAACTAATCAGGATTAATCTTTTAGTGAACTAATTTTAGTATACTCAAATCCAATTGGTTACTGTGGGTTACTGAGAATCATCACTGCTTTCCCATAATGTATAAGTTTGCATATTGTACTTATGTGAGTGTGTTTTACATTAATGTCTACTATCAGTAACTTCTAATCAGGAGATAATCCCCTGGCATCCGCTTATTGAGTAAATCTATAGAATGCAGATTAGCTAATGTTGATCAAAAGAGCTGAACCATGTAGCTTTGCAGAGCCTTTTGCAGACTGTTCATTCTAGGAGAGAAGTTTCATAGTTCTGCCAGTTTAAACATCCGAGAAAAGTTGATAGGCCTGCATATACAATATCTTTTGGCAGAGCTTGTGCCCTAAACATGAACGCTCTCCTTGCACTAGCCTACTAGTTTAGGCAAGGCTGTCCTGGCACTGGCTTTTCACAGTGGGCACCATTGAGATCAAATACTTTTTAAATCTGTTTGATTACTTTGTCTCCTGAGAATGCTTAAGGCTTTTGGAGAATGTCATCTAATGTTCATGGGTACCAAAAGGGCAGTTGTTTTTGGCAGACATCTCCCTGAGAACAGGTAAGGAGATATCTGTATCTGTAACAGAAACAGATTAATATTGTTTGGTGCATCTTAAACCATGTGCAATGGGTAGTAGTTAGGTAATAGTTAGGTGTATTGTAAATCTGTCAATATGGAAAGGCTCTAAACAAAACTTGGAAACTCTGCTGTGCTCTACAATGCTAAAATAGGTTGCTTGAGTAATCATTACATGTGATATGTCTGTGGCCTTAATGGGAACCTACTGGCATTAGTGCCTGCCAAGAGCACTGGAACCTTTTTCCATCTCAGTACACATTGATGGCGGGAGTTGGACCAATCATTAAACTTAGGAGAGTAGCAAAGACACTTATTCACTACTACCTCCTGAAGTGGTATCCAACGCCTTACATGAGTCTTTTTGGACAGTATATGTCATTACAACAGAATTCACATCTATACAGATGACTCTACATGGAACTATAAACATAATATTATTATTAATAGAAACCAGACCGGGACCAACCGACACACAACTAATTCACCTTCCCCAGAAGGATCTGAGAGACAGCTCCGGGGTGACGGTATAAGGAGGAACTCTCTTACAAAGAACCAGAGTATCCGGCCAGCCAGACAGAACAGCAAGTCAAAAGGAGATGGCAAAGTCCCCACAATTAGATCCCGGTATGTAAAGCCTCAGTATTATTCACAACTATATTTGTGAATAGATAGAGGGTTGACCACTCAAAACATATTCAGTGGTTGGTGGATGCTAGGGAGTTAAACCACCTGATAGTTGATTATATGCATCAGGAACCCCCCTGGCGATGTTAGATATTATATTATTTGTATCATAAAAAAATGCAAGAGGAGGGTCTGAAACACACAAGTTAGCAGGAACTCCCAAAACATCCAGGTGGACAGCAGCAGAGTTAGGTACAAGGGGGGTTGCTCTGTTGAACATCCTAGGCATAAAAGACGCCAGAGGCTGACTTGGCCCATTAACTGCACCTATAACTAAAATATTGCTTTAGCCCAGAGACTCAGCATGCCTGGGTGCAGGGTGCAAATTAGTTCGCTAAGTCACTGTTTAGTCCTAAGTCCTTAGGACTAAAGAAATTACATGCAACCTCTGAAGTTGGAGAGACAACTGCCAGATCCTCCCTGCAGCCTTGCTCTTTGTTAAATGTTGGGTTTATTAAGAGGGGTGGGGTGATGCTACAGCAGCTCAGAAGATTGCATTCTCTGCTGTTGTTCAAATAATAGATACTCTTCTGAGACCAAAAGTTATGGGAGCAACTTTAGCTAACTGTGATAAAGTGGAAAGGCAACATTGTGGTGTAAGGTTAGCACCACAGAAAAAACTGAGAATGTAACCAATATGGTCTATCTAATGATAATATTATAAGTATAGCTGTCTCTATTGTTTTCTCCTTCTTGTGTCTAGGAGAGAGTCACTGATATCCTGTTCTACAGAATCAAGTGAAGATCCTACAGGATCTCCAACTCAGGTGAGAACATCAAAGAAGAGCACCTTCTGGCTGTCATTAAAGCAGTGCAAAAGCAAGAATGTCATACAAAGTTCTATAACTTGCACAGACCAATCACTTCATCTTTCATTACTCTGACTTTAGTAATCTCAGGGCTGACATTGGGGAAGGGGGGATAAAGCCAAATTGATGAGGTTTCAGTTTTATCTAGAGATGTGTGACTGGCCAATCAAAAGAATAGTACAGAATTGGGTGCATAGTGCAGCCTGCTGAGGGGGTACATTGGGTGTACAGGGTGCAGAATGCTAAGTGTATAGATGTGCACAGTAAAGAATGCTGAGTGTATTGGGGTACATGGTGCAGAATGCTCAGTGCGATAGGGTGCATGGGGTATAAGGCTGAGTGTATTGGGTTGCATCATGCAGAATAATGGGTGTATTGGGGTACATGGTGCAGAATGCTGAGTGCATTTTGGTACATGGTACATAATGCTATGTGTATTTGGTTGAACAGTGCAGAACGCTGAGTGTATTGGGGTGCATGGTGCATAAAGCTGTGTGTATTGGGGTAATGCTGAGTGTATTAGGGTGCTTGGTGCGGTGGGCTGAGTGTACTATGATTCAGAGTGTAAAGGAGTGATGAACTGAATGTTTTGGGGTGCAAGGTACAAAAGGCTCAGTGTATTGGGGTGATAGGTGTTGTGTACTAAATGTATTTGGGTGCAGTGGGGTGTACTGTGTCTATTTGGATACAATATTAGGTGTGCTGTTGGGCTTCTGCCCTGCCTGTCCTCACGCTACATTTGACTTGAAGGACCTAAGCACATACTTAATTGTGTAATATAATACACTGAGAGGAATTGTGCTTCTGAATATGGGAGACATATGCTTCTGTTGACTAATGCCCACTTTCTGTATACCATCCCATTCCATTTTCATCCAGAGTTCTCTTTGTGGATGATGGTTTAGCAAGAAAGAGTATTTACTATGTACTGTAATCACTTCCTGTAAAACACACCTTTGCGTCATCCAGCTGACCATGCTCACCTTAGACCGCACACTTTTATATTCCTTTTAGGTACCCAATTGTATTGTGACAACCCTGGGCCTTTATTAAACTAAAATGTAATTGGTATTCTGCACTTTGCAGCTGCTTTATTGATTATTCCCAGACACCTGGGATTAATCAATCAACCTGGGACAGACGCCATCTATATGGGGACCTGTGCAACTGTTACTTTTGTATTCTTAGTCACAGAGAGAATAAAGTGCAATTCTCAATTCGGTAATGTCTTTTTTACATTCCAGCCTGCCTCACCTTGTGATATACTGAGCAGACCAACGGACAAAATTTCCCAGAATATGAAGAACAGAAATAGCGTGGAACAAGCTGAAAGTCACCATGACAAAAAGACAAAAACATTACAGAGGAGAAATTCTATGGTAACCTCCAATTTAAACACATTTATTAAGTTACTGAAGAACAAAAATACTAAACTTGTTTATAACGTTTTCAAAAATTAGTTGTTCAATTCCAACTCGAGGCAAAATTTTTTGGAGAGTGGGAAAGGGTTAGAACATCTGTCTCCCAGTGTCAAAGGGATAGATGGTGAAGGGAAATCTTCCTAATGAGGTCACACAAATAAATAGTAACCTGAGTGTTTAACCCTTCCCCACTCTATGCAAAACAAACATGTTTTTGTCTGCAGTTGGCCTGTAAAGTGATGTTAAAGTCATACGGTTTTAAGGCTATTTCATATGCTGGTTAAATCACTTACAATGGCCCTTATATCCTGTTTTAGGGTGGTTCCTTTCTATTGCGGGGTCTTATGGAGCTACCCTTGTGTGTGCTAGTAAGCTTTGTGTGTCGCACACACACAGGCACATCAAAGCTAGCCACTCCCTTCCCCCCGCTCTTTTCTCTTTCCTCCCTCCTTCCTTTTCCCATCTCCAAGCTAGTAGATGGTCAGCTGCTGGAGACTGTTTCCTCCCATGTGATCTTGTACTGGACAGGAAGTTCAGGGAAGCTGAGCTGAAAGAGTTGGAGTCAGCTGTTCAGAAACATGATATCTGTGTTTGAGCAAAAATTATTTGCAAGTCAATGCATATTTGTTTGATCTGGATTCCCTATTGAAAAAAGATTGAGAGTTTAATATTACTTTAATTCTAGAGTGACTTTGTGCATCTTCGTTCTTTCTGTCCTGTATGTTCTTTATATAGCCTGCCAAGCAACAGCAACTGAAATCTCTTGATGGCATACATCCCATTCAGTCCAATATGTCAGCCGATGCCAAGATATCACAGAGTGTGCTGGGGTTCAGACTGACACCCATTGCAGCTCTCTGCAGCATGGAACGAGAATTTATTCAACACCGCAGATCTAAGACTGAGAGTGAACTGTTACAGCCTCCTTCCAAGGATGCACAAAGTTATCCAAGGTAGGGTTACACTAATATTTAAAAAGGCCTTTTGACAAAACTGATATCGGAAGTGGTTGGTGTTTTGGTCCAGTTAAGGCCATGTGATGCTTTAAAGCCTTATTGAAGACTTACATCTAATGGTTGGTGGCTGGGTTTTCCTTGAAAATGCAGTACTCTGTGCTAGCATAGCTGAGTAACAGCCAATCCCTCATGACAAGTGTCCTAACACAGACTGGTATTGCAAAGAAGAGGAGGGGGCATGTCTGACCAGTTGTGTGATTTCCTGAGAACGCTGAATATTTTGTTGTCTATAAGGCCTCATTCACACTGCTTAGGGTCGGCCCGTACAGATCCGTGCAGCGTGCACGACCGTATTGGGCCATTCCTGGGATGGACAGGTGCTTGTACGCAGCAGCCTGTTCTTCCCTATGGGAGGGCGCCGCCGTACGTTCACCCGAACAGCATGTCCATGCGGGTGCGGCTGTCCGTACTCATACACAGACAGGAAGGGAAGAACAGGCTGCTGCATATAATGACCCGCAGCACCTGTCCTTCCCAGGAACGGCCTGATACGACCGTGCATGCCGCATGGATCTGTACGGGCTGACTGTAAGCAGTGTGAATGAGGCCTTAGACTGCACAGTCCTATTTAGACATTTGGCTCTACTGCTGTAACTGGACAGTGGTGACAAGAAAATGGAGGTTGTTAGTAGAATGATTATCTGACTGCATGTCTAATTCTGTAAATTTAGTTGGGCTTTAAAAAAATGAATGGTGAGGCATTCATTTTAAACACTGACAGGCAGAAATGGCATTGACCAAACTCATTTTATTTATGGAGCGTTTACAAATGTTTTCCAGGGAACATTGTCTCAAACGTTCTTACACGTATTTTGTTTAACAGTAAATGAACTTCTGCGCTGCTTTATCCTTACATGAATCACCAGTCCCATGCTGATAGGGGCCATTTTGCTCAAACATTCTTACCCATGGTAAAGCAAAGACTGTGTGATGCTTTCAAGCGAACCAGTCATGACTGCTCTGAATATTCAGTCAAATATTGTAATTGTGCAGGCTTGGTTATGAAAAAGTTTAATTGCCAACTTACTTTGGCTCTGTCTGAATTTAGAGCTTATGTCAGGGGTGTAAAAGGTTACCTAAAGTCTGATAGTCACTGTCTGAGCTCATATGCTGCACACTCAGAAGCTGGGAAATGACATTTTAGGTTAGGCAGTAAACAGCAAAGCAAATGTTTAAATTCAGGTGACCAATCATCCCCATTAAGGGAAAGGGGGGCATAAATCTTTCATAAGACTGCAGAGTTATAATAATTTATAAGTTATAACTCTTAAAGACTTCATATTTAACACACAACCTAACTCTGGATTGTTCAAGGTCCATGGACAGAGAGAGAGGTTCTCAGGGCCCCAAGAATACATTACAACCAGTAAAAGGTGAGAGGGTCACAATATTTGGATGTGTATTTAGCAAATGAATGACTTATCCAATAAGACATCTCTTTTAATCTTGACAGATCCTATAGTCAGGTACAGACACAGGATCCAGAAGGTCAACGTTTGGGACCTCAGTGGAGAAAGTGGAAAGTTTTGTAGCGTTTCTGGCACATGTCCTCTAATCTCTGATGAGGAATCACACTTATCTCCCATTTCCAAGAACATGCAACAAAGAGATAAATTCTTGTCTCATGCTTCTGGTGAGATAATAATCTATGGCTAATCTATGCTCTGTGGTGACAGATAGTGTATTGGGAGCGCTATCAAGCCTGGCCCCACCAACAGCAGCTATATTGTTCCTCATGATTCAGTGATGTCACTGGTCTCTAGTGAACAAATAAGCTGCACTCTCAGGGATGTCATTGGTCTCTAGAGTATGGATATGCTGCATCCTGTAGAAAGTTTCAGGCTGGGTTCCCACTTGGACGTTCGTAATATGCACTTTTGACGCGCTATCCAGCTGTATCCTAATGGATACACGCGGAAAATACGCCCCAAAGAAGCTCCTGTACTTCTTTGGGCGTAGGGCGTTTTTCAGCGTGTTCCTACGCGCTGAAATACGCCCAGGTGGGAACCATGCCCATAGGAAATAATGGGATTAATGAGGCCTGGTTCAGGTGTGAACCAGGCCTCAGAGTATAGCTGATTACCATAACGTAAACTTTTGGTTACTATTATCTTCTGAAACTACCACTTACATTTTATAGCAGGCAGCCCCATAAGTTAGATTTTTTGCAGAACACCCCCTAACGTAAAAATCAACCTGCTCCAGTGTTTGTTTTTTTTTCTTTTGCCTCGCTGTTGGACCATCATTGTGATAGGAGTTCAACAGTGAGGCATGAGAGGAGGGCCAGAGCTGTGACCACATTTAGTTGCTATCTGCATATCAGATGTGCAGCCTTTCTGTGGTACCGTGCATGGAAAATATACTGATGTACAGGTAACTGCACTTCAATACAAATGCCAGTACATATTCTCTGGTCTTTACAGAGTAGGAACAAAAAGTTAAATAGAAAACAGTAATTTAGTTCTCTCTTCTTCTTGTCCACAGGGATCCTGGAGAGCAGACACCACCCGGAGCTGTCACCGCAGGGTTTCAAGAACACGGGAGGGAAATCTTTACAACTCAATATAGGCCACAGGTATTAGGCTAGGGTCATGTAAATACACTGAGCCAGCAATATTGTGTTTGTAATAGAACTGCATAATCATTCTGCGATTTCCAATGGCAAGCAATGTAAAGTTCTAAATACATACTGTGGCAGTGTGTGGCGATGCCGTTATGTAGAGTGGCAAAATGGTCACCCAGGACTCTCAGCCGGAGGGGCTGCAAAGTTCCAGGACACAAGTACTTTTACCAGGGAAGAGCTGGCTTCACAATTCTTTATGGGTTTTCTAAATCATAACTGGGAGATTTCTAAGAGAACTGGGAGGGATGAAATCTCCATTCCTGGGTCCGTCCTTTAGTGGTGACCAGCAACGAACGATTGTGCACCTGTGCACAGCCCTTATGAAAAGGATGCTGGTTCATGTTCAGGGCTACAGCTGGTAGACAAGAGAGGTGTCTGTCTAGGAGTCAGGAGGACTTCATCCTGGAACCAGCCTGTGTGGCAAGTCTGCTGGACACAGCCTGTGTGGCAAGTCTGCTGGACACAGCCTGTGTGGCAAGTCTGCTGGACACAGCCTGTGTGGCAAGTCTGCTGGACACAGCCTGTGTGGCAAGTCTGCTGGATACAGCCTGTGTGGCAAGTCTGCTGGATACAGCCTGTTTGGGAGAGGTTTAAAGTAATAACCTGAAGTCAGTAAGGCTGGGCACACACCTTACAACCATCGCAAGACTTTTGTCTTGCGATGGTTGTAAGGTACTTAAAAAAAAACATACGATCTGCCTATCTTGCATAGGCAGATCGTACTTGCGATGATCACAAGCCACGGGCTTCCGATGACCGCAATGCCGAACGGGCAGTGTGCGCTTGCGCACACCGGCCCGTACGGCTTTTATCGTACGAACATGCCACAAACCCGCCGAACATCGTACAATGCTCGGCGGGTTTCTGAACATGTCCGTAAGTTAAAAGTCGTGCAACCTTACAGTAGTAGAGGTCGCACGGCTTCCACACACCTTACGACAATCGTACGATCCCGGAATTTCCCGCGATTATCGTACGATTATCGCAAGGTGTGTGGGGACCTTTAGACTTTGAAAAACGTTATTTTGCTTAAAGACGAAGCTGAAGTTATGTTGTTATGTTGGAGAAACCCCTGTGAGGGAAGACTTCTGTGAACCTTTACATAAAACTGGGCAGGAAGCCCTACAAAGAGCATGTTTGCGAGTGGACTCCGTCCTTAACGCGCTACCATTTGAAGCTAATTCTCACAATACCCAAAGCTCTGGTCTCTTGCCAGTCATGGCAGGAGGTCACATGGGTGCTGCCAACGGGTGGTATTCAGTCAGGAGCTCTTCCTGCACATAGATCAAGAATACATTATGCAGTTACATGTCCCCGCAGTACAGTTGTCATCCAGTGATGGCAGCTGAAAAAGCTGGAGCAACGGCAGGAAAGTATCTGGTAGCTTTACATAGAACGTTATTAATATGGAGGCTGCGATAGCTGGCCTCCTTCTGAAAATGCTAGCTGTCTCATGCTTTAGTACATTCTGTGTCACTGACCTAGAACAAGCATGCAGCAAGTAAAGTCATAATAAATACAGAAATCCGGGTCATTTAAAGGAAACGTTTGTAGAAAACATGTACGCCAGCATTGCCCAACTCTACTTTTGAAAAATGCTATGTGGCTGGCTGTTATGTTGATTCAAAGGCCTTGACATATTCTGAGGAATGGTCTCAGAACAAGTATTTAGATTGGTAGTTTTAGGTCAGACACAGCCAGCCAACTAGCATTTTCAGAAAGAGGTCATCAATAGTAGGCTATATTCCTCTCATAATGGGTTTCCTTTAGGACCAGATCTTTTCCCTTTATGTACAAGAAATAGTGGAAGAGTGTCATTCTCCGTTGTCTTTGTTCTGTTTCTTTCAGGAGGAAAGGATCACTATCTGAAAACCTTCACAAGGACATACAAGCTATCATTGGAGAATCAGGGGTGACATTCCGGCTCCCTCCTCCCCCCAGCATTATTCCACAGAGAGTTCGTCCCCACCACTAATTACAGGGGGAGTTTCCTTTCTCTGGATGGATATTGGAGTGACTGTTAGCTGAAGGCACAGGGCCTCCTCTGACTTGGGACCTAGCGCCTATAATTTTATCGTAACCTAAAACCCACACTACCGAGAATAAGCCACCTTCCCATTCACCAGAGGAGAGGGACTGATGTGTCATTCCATACATGCTGAAAGGGTAAATCAGTGACTGGCGCCACTAGCTGTCCCACCCTATCATTACAGGAACAAAGACAGGGTAGTTTTATAGGAAATATTAACTTTATATTCATACAATCCTTATAATTACCAGCAGGCTAGAAGATGTACTGAAGACGCAGAGCTGTAAGGTATCCTAGATTATAAAAATATATATTTTTTTATTTAAAGGCAAACACATGTATCTTCAATGATTATGCATTTTAGGTAGTAATCTAATGATTATTCAGAAGGTAATTTCTTTATGGATAGTAATGCTTGCATATTTACATATTTTCATGATGTTGTATTTAGGGATGCACCGATACTTTTCGAGTACCAGTGCCGATACTTGGCATTTTCATGAGCACTACCAGGGTTGCAGCAGTTGCAGCTGGGACCGGGCTCTGGCGCTCCACCACTGTCCTGAAATCATTAGTCTGTATTGTTTTAGAAAAACGGTCACATGACAATAAACAAAAATGTACCAGTACTTGTAAGACCTTGGGCAAGTATCAGTACTTGCAAAACTGGTATCTGTGCATCCCTTTATTTATATTTATAAAACCAAACTCATACATTAAAACAGAGATGTACAAATCCCAGGAGCTCCGTGTGCTCCTTACAAATGACAGCTAACTCCAAACTTTTGAATTTTTCTAGTCTAGTCTTGGAGCTTGAAAAGTATCTGTACTTGTACCGAGTACTGTACTTGGTATCTGTGCATCCCTAGTTGTACTGAATGATTTGTAGGTTCTGCCCCTGTGTTCTGTCTGTATGTCAGACTGCTGAGATAAAATGATTACAGGATTAGACGCCAAGGGGTTGTATTACTTTACTAGAAGTACAGAATTTGTGAGATGCAAATAAGCTCTTCTCTATAATGGAAAAACTGTATGAGGAAGCAGTTCCTTTAAGTGTTATTTATATTTAAGTTCTCACATTAAAGTATAACTCTGGATCAACCAAGAATCATTGAGCCTTTCACTTTGGACAAAATAGTTAAAACAGAACGAGAGCCTTCTATTCCCTTCCTGCCAAGGACAGTGCCATCTTAGCCTATTCTTAAGGTGCCCATACACCTTGTGATAATCGTACGATAATTGCAGGAAATCCCGTGATTGTACGATAATCGCAAGGTGTATGGAAGGCGTGACCGTTTCTACTGTACGGTCGCACGTCTTTTGTCTAACGAGCATGTTTGAAAACCCGCTGAGAATCGTACGATTGTCGGCGGGTTTGTGGCATGCTCGGGAGACAAATGCCGAACGGGCCGGTGTGCGCAAACGCACACTGCCCGTTCAGCATTGCAGTCATCGGAAGCCCGCCCCTCAGAGGGCGGGCTTTCGATGATCGCAAGTATGACCTGCCTGTCCAAGAAGGGCAGATCGTACGTTTTTTAAATTACCTTACAACCATCGCAAGACAAAAGTCTTGTGATGGTTGTAAGGTATATGGGCACCTTTAGATGTGCAGTTGGTATAGTTTGCACATGTGAAGAGCTATGACACCAGCTGGAAACATTAGTTTACATCATTAATAAGCACACAACACTGTGACTGTTTCATCAGAGGCATGCCTTGAATGTAGCACACACTGCACTTGTGCTAGTAGGCAGAATGTAAATAAAAACACTGCAGAAAACATTATTGGTATGTTTGATTAAGGATTTCAAAACATTTATTGAACATTTATGGAGCTTTTTTTGGGAAATAGTTGATGGTTTTAAATTTCACTTTTTTTAAATTGAGTTATTATTAGAATCGTTTTAAGGGGTAGAATCTCTGTCAGGTATTCATGAAAGTCTTTGTTCCGTTTGTCTTTCCAGTGCTGAGCTTTGCATAGCTCTGCCAGACAGCACTTGGTTGCCCCCAGGACTTCGTACACAATGCAAAGATGCACATTTAGCAGAGCAAAGGTAGGGCAGAGTCTCTGTGGTACAGGGGAATACAGATGTGGATGGCAATAGATGAAATAATATGTCTAAAAGGACACTAGATGGCACTGTAATCTACCACTAGCTTACAGTAAACCCTCTCATGAGATAAATATGGGCGTGGCTATTACTGACCTTCTCATGTTACTTCCCTGGTTGGATGTTGACCTAAAATTAGTATTCATTTATTTTATCAATCAATGACCTGGCATAACAGCCAGGTAATATGCATTTTCTTTCAAAGCAGGTGTACAAAAAACCTGACCATAGACACTAGAGGATGATCAGAAGTGGAAGCATGGTCTGATAGAAGATTTTTTCTTCTCTTCCAATGTGTCACATAAACACGCATGCTTAGATCCACCTGAATGTTCAGGTTTATGACTATGAAGCAAAGAAGGGGAGATCAGGCAATGGCTAACAGATCAGCCTGATCAGGGCAAAGCAACCTGTCCGAACCTGGCTCTACTCAGGGTTCTGTCCAGTTCTAGAGGCTACCATTGCACAAACTAGTCCCGGGGCCGTACAAATGTGTGCAGCTTGACACGTCACACACCTGCCTTTAACTAGGGCCACTGTCAGGGGTCATATGATGGAAGCCTCCAGACCCATTCTGACAGGTTCTCTTTGAAACAATTTTTTTAAATGGGGTCTGAACTAGGGATAGGCAGGAGAGGCTTAACAGCAAAACAACAGAGCTCCAGTAGGATTAACAAAGTGCACATGACACAGAATGATAAAAAACAATTATAATTTTATCACAAATATTTAATCAATTCCATGTATTTATAATAATTATGTGTTCATACAGTAAGGAGAAACATTATTTCTACAAACTCAAAAACAGGCAGCATGACGCTGTTCCATTTGTGCAAATCATTAAAGTTAAACAAGGTCGTTCCACCCATAACAGTTTAAGTTGTGGAGGCACACTGGTGAGCTAAGTCATCCCCCCTTACCGCTCTGTATTTACTGAAGATTCAGTCTTTTATTGCTCTATTGCAGCCGTAGGCAACCTCAACATGGCTACAAATCCCATTGTGCCTCTGCTTAAGGCTATCAGTTTTGCAATGCCTCATGGGACTCACAAGGGGGGTGTGGCCCGCACCGGGTGACACCATCAGAGGGGGTGACACCAAAATGACTGTCATTTTGGTGTCACCCCCTCTGAAAAGAGGATGGGACCCGGCGGCATACCTTATCCCGCCAGATGAACGTCCCCTCCTCTCTTTGCCGGCGTCCATCACCAAGATGGTCGCTGGCAGTGAAGTGCACCTGTTGTCATTACACGCGTGCGTAATGACGTCACGTGTATACATTATGACGTGCGCACTGGGTGACACCCGGCCTGGTGAGGCCGCTGATGGGACTTGTAGTTTTACCACAGCTGGAGTACCGAGGTTGCCTACCCCTACTCTATTGCTCTCAGGGCTTAGTGCCCTTTGTCCCAGTGACACCCACAGTCTCATTTCTTGTCCTGGTATCTCCCGTGCAGGAAGAGAGGAAATACCTACCTAAATCAGAATACAAACAGCAACTTGACTCTAACCCATTGAATTAAAGATTTAAAAAGGGAAACAAAATATTTATACATTTTTAATTTTATTAACCCTTCTTTAGAAAAAAAAAAAAAAGAACTTTGGCTGGTGTTTTGGTCTTATCATTTCTAAGTATGTGTGCTTTCTAGTTTCAGATAATAAGCCAATACAATGGGAATAGATCACCTGTAGACAGGCAAAAGGATCTAATCACACCGCTGAAGCATGACAGGAAGTACTACCAGACAATTAATTATTGTCTGGGAAAGTCCACTGAGGACTAATGCTGTGGGAGGACTAATGCAGGAGGACTAAATCAGTGCAATCAATGCGAAGCAGAGAAAGGTCTCAAGCATTATCCAGTTGCATATTTTTTCCTGCAGTGCTAGATGCCCCTGAAAGGCTCCGCCCAGTAAATGAGAGGCTTCCTCATACAGTACCAAAATTCAGACTTTAATGCTGGGCAGAGGCAGGATGCCAATTTCTTCCCTCAGAGACTCCACACTCTGCTCCCAGCGCTTCTCATAGTAAAAATTGAGGACACATCGAGCGTTCCGCCCACTCTGGACCGCCCAAGGAACCAGTTGGATCAGTTTCTTCTTTCTCCTGCAAAAGAGAAAAAAAAAGAGTGTTGAAGCAATCCTGTCATTTCATTCTCCATAAAAACCACTAATTGCCAACAATATCTTTATGTCAAAAAGAGGTGTAAATGTAATCTTGAAACCACAAAACGATTTTTCATTGGTTACTTACTATACAATAAAGAAATTGGATGAGCACACACCAGCTACATCCAATCTCTTTCTTTATCCTTGTTGGAACTTCTTGCACAGCCTCACAGAGAAACACAAGCACACAGTCTGATATGCAGGCTGCTCATGGCTTAAAAAACAGGAAGGAAGCCACCGCTTTATTCTCTACTTTTTTCAATACAACAGAGTATCTACCATAGATATATAAACAGAACTTATAAACACTGCCATCTAGTGACTGAAATTGTATACTGCAGAAGTTGTTGCTATAAACACAGTAATGTGTATTCTAACAATCCTTTCATAAAAGCATGATGCAAGAGATGAATTGAGACACTGATGCGGTCCATTGGTTACTGTGTATTGTCGCTGCTTTGTCACAGGGCAGGTGAAGGGTGTAAGACCTGGGTGAACGGAAACCCTGCCATGGCAGTGTGGGGAGCTTGCGTTTATGGCAAGTCATGTGGTCCTCCGCGGTAGAGAATCTCAGGAGATCCTAGAAATCATCAGGTGGTTTAAAGCTGGCCATACACTAGTAGATTTCCAAACAAAAGATCTTTATTTACCACCCAATTATGCCACCAGAGACTTGATAAATGTCAAAGGAAATTTTGTTTAATTTTTCCCGAGCGAAAACCACATTCACTGTTAGAATGTTGTTCGCTTGAGAAAAATTCCACCCTGCTCCTTCGACTTTTTTTGTCACTATAGTCAAAAACGATGATCGATTTAAACACATCAACTAATAGAAAGTTGAACGAAAGATCTTTCGTACAAAAGTTCCTTTGAAAATCTACTAGTGTATGGCCACCTTAAGTCCTCATCTACTAAAAAAAGAAACAATAAGGTGTTCGTAGACGACCCTTTAGCCCTTTCCCTGCTACTGCCGTTTTTCCCTGTTTTGTACACATGTTAAAATGCACA